AAAAGGAGAAAAGACGGTGCTTAGATTTTTTTCCCTCCGAAAAACTAGCCACAGACTTACTAAGCAAAATCACAGGTTTAGGAGAGGTTGGTTTTAACCATTGCGGATCTTCATCGTCACTCAAACGATAATACATTTTTTCTCTCGCAAGAAAATAATCGATGATCTTCTGCCTGTGCTCGAGAACGTCTGCACGTTCATGACCAATAAAATATGGACGACTGCCGTTAATCGAGTAATTTATTCCCCACCTCCTTAAATTGAGTCGAGTGCTCTCAACTGAGCGCACTAAATCGTCGCTTGTCTTTTTCAGTCCGTTTAGCTCATAATATTTGGTGTCGATAAATTCGGCCAGTTCTATGACCGTAAAACTTGCTGCTTTTCTACTGCACGCATCAACAGCAAACAGACGTGCTTCAGTTTCAATTTCGGGAAAAAGATCATAGAAGCCATCGCCTCTTTTGCCTCCGCGGCCTTTCACCAAAAAATCGTCCAAAGATTGATTTAAAAAAACATCTGCCCACTTGTAGCTGGTCTGTCTGCGAAATGCTCCAATGTTGCTCATAAATAAATCAACCTCGGCGGCTGAAATGTTGAAATGTGTAAGAGACATGTATAACAATGTGCTAAGGTATCTGATGTTGCAGGTTTCTTCACATAATTTCATAATATCAGCAACATTTCCCAACATTTCTTTGGGTGAAAAGTCAGTTTCTCTTACTGGATCGTCCTCGGTGTATTCATCGTCATCGTCGCTTGAAGATTCCTCAGTTTTCTCAGACAGAGTTTCACTGAGACGTTTTTTTAAACGTACATCATTTAGATGAGATTTTCTTTTATTATTGGGATTAGGCATTTTACAAAAAATATCAAAAAAAGCGTTTGAGCACGGCGGACTGAAGCCTAACACGTGTTGTTTATTTGTTTTATGTCTTTTGAATCATTTGAATCAACAATTTTAACGTTTTTCAATTTTTTCTTTCTTTTAATTGTAGCTAAATCTTATGATTATTTACCGTTATTTCGTACTTTATTAGCATTTTTGATCGGTTTGTCCTTATTATGTTGTTTCTATTGTTATTGCTGGTCAGTTGAGTCTTCCTTTCACGTAACAGTGTGAATTGACTTCATATAGGAGTCTTATATAGGAAATTTTGCCTTTCCCGCAAATTTGTGTGTCGCACAGGAAAAATTTTCCTTTGCAACACTGACTCCGCATGTACATGCACACGACGACCAGTTTGCATACATGTATTTACAGAGTGTGGGCATTCAGAAATGCAAGAATTCAGCATGGTAGGACTAAAGGATGAGAGGGATGCAGGATGGTAGGAATACAAGATGGAAGGAATTCAGGAATTCATGATGCTACGACTACAGGATGATAGGAGTACAGGACGGAAGGAATTCAGAAATTCATGATGGGAGGATGAAAGGATGAAAGGAATACAAAATGGAAGTAATTCCGAATATGTGAACATCTCCACACTCGCTTCTCTATATTCATCAAATAATATGTACAAAAATAAGGAAATGGAATTTACAGCTGAATAAATTACAGACAATATAGAGCAAAAGTCTAGTCGACGTTTGCCTGATGATCATCTCCGTCAGTTCCATCGGCTAAAGAATTCCAATAGTAATTTGAGTAGCTGCATTAGTTTGTTGTCCGATGATACATTGTAAAGAAACGTTCATGTACGTCTTATCGGATAAGAAAGTATTTCAACAACCCTATTCACTATTTAAAAGGTCTTTCACTCATTAGAATTGACGAAACGTGGATCGACTAATGTTTTTGTTATAACACCGATGAAAAGTGCATGAACTTTTCAAAAATAAGTATTCATATCAGAGTTCATTTCCTTTTTTACACCTTGTGCAACACCTTTCCTGACAACTTCACCAGACTCACGATTCTTATTAAACATCACATTCGTATTTTCAACGCTATCAGTTACACTAGCCGAATCATTTTCTTGAAGTAACGATGGATTTAATGTAATTGCACCTTTTGGAATGAAAGTAGACACAAAGACCACCACCGAGATAATAGTTAACTGAATAGCGACAGTATTAACAAATACCGGTCTCACAGTTTTACTAGACTGATAAACACTATCGAGATATTTTCCGAGAAGCGGGTTTGCAATTGCGTAGATGATAATATAGGACGAGTAGAGAAATGCTACGACAGCTCCCAGTGCCGAAATATTCTTATGTTTTGATTCTAGATGACTTAAGGAAGACTGAATGTAAGCATTAAGTGAAATATCATCAATAGACGATCCAAATCCAATCGGAATATAAGTTGCGGCTATAATCCAAGCATATTTGACATTATTCGAAGGGGGATAATAGTATGGAATATACCAAACGATAAGCAATATCAATGCATCTAACCGTGACCAAGGAATAGGAGTTTTAATCACACCGCTAAGAAAGAATACAACAACAGCACCAAGTAGTTCACCAAAATTTGAGCCACCAACAATTATTTGTGACCATGCAGAATTGCCAAGATATCGTTGTGCAATTTGTGGAGCAATACCATTTTCGAGGTACCGATGAGCATAAAGTGTCAATGAATAGCAACTCCACAACCAAATAAATTTTCGATTAATAAATATGATTTTTCCGCCAATATAAATGGATTGTCCAAAAAGAATAAATCCTTTGATAACAGATACGAAATAATTCGATTTAGAATTTGCATCATCTGAACTGATTTGTGCTTCTGGATTAGTCATCGCTAATCCAAGAGTACGAATGAATAGCCAAATGATAGCAGCTATAGTAAAGAAGATCGGTGTAATAATAAAGGAATAATTATTTCCAAGACGCGGAATCAAACCAAGACCGGTTGTAAATGCACCACTGACACCTGCAATTTCATAAAAGATATGCACGAGAGCGTCCATTCTTTTCAATTTTTGATCATTATCACCGACAATATCTCTGGGAATCACTCGACGAATCAATTCGACCATTCCGTAGGCAACACCAGTAATGCAATAAATCGGTATAATACCATTAGTATTATAACGACCATAGTAGCTATAATCGTACTCGTGCGCTTGCTGAAAATTTGTTGGCTTTATGCGTCCGCCAGTAGCACTATCAACAATCATAAGAATAGCAGTAAATAATGCAAACACAAAAATTGAAATTGATAGAACTGTACGCGTTGGCCAACGTTTAGTAAGAGGAGCAATGAGAATAGATCCAATACATTGGAATGCTTGATTAAGACCAGATAGTAATCCGACTTTTTCAAATGTACGTGAAGGCGTTCCACTTTTGAAAGCATCTTGTTCATAACGATTCGTGGCAAGAGTAACGATCGATCCATTGAATGCTTCCAATCCAAATTTGTAAAACATAAGACCAACAACATAGATGGCTATGTTTCGTTTCTCTTGAGCGGAAAAAAGTGCCCATATTCTAATACTTCCAGTTTTTTCGAAAGGCATTTATTCTCGACTAAAATTTCAGAACAGTAGAATGAATAATCTCAATTAAACATTTTGATTGAGACTGTTTCAACAGATCAAGCTCATTAATCGGCAAATTTTTTTGACATTATCTATGCTTAGTTGACTTTTATTTCTCTAATATCATTTGTGACAATAAAGATCATTAAATCAGAAACAGATACATGTACTTTATAAATTTTGTCCTACTACAGGACTATTGACACATTAGTCTGAAAATTTTATGGAAGCCCGTTTGAAATTTTCGGAGTTTCCATTAATTATTCTAAATAATCATAAATGTGAATCATTTAGCTAAAGACCTGTTATTGTTCTATTCCCTATTTTCCATTTTCACTGGTATGACGGATAACTCATCCTCATCAACTCTGAATCAGATCGGCTGAGAAAAGATACATACGTATCGGTAACCATTGATGTGCGGTTAGGTGGATGCTATAGACTAGAGCACTGCATAGATACGACTTCTAGTATCATTCGTACTCTTTAACGGATACGGATCGGATTGCAGTAACGACTGGTTGGAGGTGGGATCGAACATCACTCCGCTCAGTGCGGAAGTCTATCTCATAGCTAAATGAACTACCCATGTGCATCTATCTCTGACTTAAGGATCTGAATGAAGCTGTCCCGTAAGAATCATATTGTTTCTTGGTGTTAATAATGCGTCATAATGCAATCATGTCCGTAAATAAAAGGTAAGATAAAAAATATCAGACAGAAAAAACGTCCAATTGACTATGGATGATTGGTAAGATTCATTGATTATTATCGGCAGGTGTTTTTCGAGATTTTTCGACATGTTTGACAGCAAAAAACCAGTTATTTACTTTGAGGATCATAGAACAGCATTCTCTTGATTCTACGTCAAATTTTTTTGCTTTTCTCATCTGATAATTTGTCATTGTTCTTTGCTGGAATACAATTTTCAAAACAGTTATAATCGTCATTGAATTTTGGTAAAGAGAAACTTTTTACTCTTACATAGAAGATTTTCTTCTCACGTTACAAGTCCTTCAGTCGTCTATTACTTTCCAGCTGATTGTATGACCCAAAAAACGTCTGCAGAATAACAGCTTGATCTGAAAACGTTTCCCCTCTTGAATAAGGTTTTTAAAATATTCATTTAAGGAGGTCTCCGAGTGAGAATCAGATGCAGCCCCAGGGCAGCAAGGCAGGACAAAAGGTTTTGCCCTACTATTTTCATATGATCTTTTCTTTTTATTAAATTTTTTCTTGTTCAAAACGTAAGAAAACAACAGAGTGGATGGTGCTAATCACGCGTATTCGGATGTGGTTTCTGTTTGTAGCATTGAGCATAGTTGGAAAGAAAGAGCTCATTGAGATGAAAATGAAATAACCTTGTACTCCGTTGAACTTACGAGGTGTTTATTACCTTCCCAAATATAAAAAATGTATCGGATATCACCTAATGCAGCTAAATATGCTAGATATAAAACACAATGCATCTAGATGCATAAAAACGAGAAAAATTTGAATTGGGTTATCGGCCGATACATCTAGATACAGCCAATTCATTTCCAGATGTACCTAGTTATGTATCTAGTAGTGATTTTAACCCGATTAGTACCCGCCTGATGGTACAAACTTATGATCGTTTACTATAATCGTTTTACTAGTTTTTCGACTCCTTGCCAAGTATCTAAAGAAATCGAATCAGCAGGTTTTGACCTGAAATTGCGTCCATTGATACATCTAACGACGGCTAGCATTCTCTGAAAATTTCAACCGAAGCAGATATTTTCTGCATTAGACATTGTTTTTAAAAAGACTATTTTCTCGAATCTTTGGTGTACTATGCGTATTTCTTGAAAATTTAGTATCTCGTGAAGAAAACAGCCGCTTAAATCAGCCTTTAAAATTTCCAGAGCGCACTAGTCATCATTAGATCTATCAGTGGATGAAATTTCAGGTCAAAACCTATTGATTCGGTTTCTTTGGATATTTGGCAACGAGCCGAAAAACTAGTAAAACGATCATAACTTTGTACCATCAGGCTACGAGTACTTACTCTCTGAGGCATTTCTAGTCTCATTCGATCTGTTTATGGACAAAATATCAGCTCACAAGATAATAAACACCTGAGAACGTTCCCTTGTTAGCTGGAATATAGGACAGGGCAGAACAAAAATGTTTTGATGAGTCATTTTTCCATCAGTGCAGAGCAGCAAGATGAAGAATAGTGCCCTGTCGACACCTCTGTTGAGGATATTTGTCAAATATGTGATATTCTCACCTTGCAACTTTTAAAAATTCTTTCTCAAATATGTTAAAATGCAGAATTTTGTGTTGAAAATGGAGATGAAGGTCGGATTAGAGGCTTCAAAGTGTGTAGTCTTCGATGATCTCTGGACGTATTCACATCTTTCGGTCTGGCACAAGACTATTTAAAACCGCTTCCACCAGAGATCGAAACGCGTCTTAGGTGGATGATCCGAATCCTATCCAACCCGAAGGCTTTTTGACCCTACCGGACCTGATCCGAAAAATTTTCGAAACTTGATCCGAATGACCCGAAAATTTTTCTTGGATGACCTAACAATTTTTTCTAGAAAAAGAGCAGAAATCTGTAGCTTTTGTAATAGCGTAAAACATTTCGCAGATTTTTTCTCCAAGTGATGGTTCATTCAGATTGTGATAACCCGAACCATGAAATCGTTTTTCTTGATCGTATCTTGTCATGAAATTTAATCATCATAATGCGACGCATATTTAAGTCGTTCATTTTTTTGGATTTACTTATGTTTTTTTCTTTTCTTTCTTCCCTTCATCAGTGCTACACTGTACACCGTACAGTGTATATTACACAGCGTCAAAGCAGAAAGGAAAAAACACTGTACTTCTTTTTCCGATAAAAAAGACACATGTTGGAAAATAGATGAGTGAACCGTAATTGCAGAAAATCTCTTGATTTGTTGTCAAGTGGCAAGATCCGAATAAAACCCGAATTTTTTTTCCTGTGACCCGACCCGAATCAATATTTTTTACATTGATCCGAACCCGACGCGATACGATTGGACTCAACCCGACCCATTTCGGTCTCTGGCTTCCACGTGTTTCTACATGGCTCTAACACTACTGAAGTCAGTAACGTCTGATTAATGCGGATACTGAGAAAAAGAACGCTTATTGAGAAGAAAAGACCTAATTTTGTTAAACAGTGTATTCAAAAAAGAGATCATCAGTCTAGTTTTATACAAGGCTACAAAATCGAACCCATTACATAATCACAACTTTGGTCATTTAAGCTAAGAATATGGACTATTTTGATCGATGGGACTGAGAAAAAATTTGATGTTAACACAGAATTCTAGAATTCATATTTTAAGCGCATGATCTTCTTATTTCAGACGAAGCAAAGACCAAATAATAGCTCATAGTAATGATTTGAAAATATTTATCTGAGAATAGATAAAATAGTTCTCAATCTTTTGTCCTTCTCAAAATAACATTGAAAAATCTCATACTGTTATTTGAACGGAAGTGAACATAAATAAGGATTTTTGTCTCTTCTGTTTTTTCTTGTCTGGGAATAAATCGACTTGGTAGAGAACATGGCAATATCAACCTTTTCTTTCTCTTGCTACCTGTAGGCCGTTCATTGCGATTGCTGTCGTTTATTCACGATCGAAAAGCAAAGAAAACTTACGTCGTTATTCGTTTTGCTCTGTTCGTTTGAAACTAATACTTTACTTTAGATTTTGTATAATAAATCAATATCAATAACTCTTAACTATGAAGTGATTAAATATTGAATACTTGAATAAAAGAAAAGATAATTCAACAAGAAAGATGGAAGACCTTTTCTACGTGTTTCGTACACTCACCTTTGTGTGTCTACCTTATTATACCATTACCGTTGACAAAAATAGAGCGTGCTGCATCATATCCAGGACATCGAAAACAGTATAATTAATTATCTATTAAACGCCAGTTAATAGCTAATGAAATAGTCATTAAATGGTCATTTTTACACTTTATAAATGGGAACGTTTTAATGCCTTAAAATGACATTTTTTAACAGGCTAAAAACTGTTCGAAAATAGGCAGTTAATAGCATCCTGTAATGGTCGGTTTTGCATCATTACTGACTGTTAATGGTCAATTATCGAACGTTTTTTTCTATTAGGACATTTAATTTAATTTGATTAATTTTTTTGATTTTTTTTGATTAGTATCCTAAGTATAGTGATTTCCAAAATTTTTAACATTTTTGGTTCCTTAGATCTACCATCAACGGCACCAGATCCAGAGCCAATGGCGAATTCCACGTGACAATTTTCGATGGCTCATACAATCGGGGACGAGAAAAATTTGCAAATTTCTTCCAAATTTCAGTGATATATATATATATCATATACCAGTCATGGTTATAAAATAAAAGGGTGAATGAAACAGCCATTTTAAACGTCAGTTTTTTCGCTGTATATTTTGCAATTGAAGAATGGTGCGTTTTTTGCCATTATAACAGTCAAAAAATTTACAGTAAACAGTGACCGTTAATCACCTTTTTTTCAATATTTTGTAGTATATTAAATGCCTTTTTTCAAGCCTTTATCAACAATCAAATAACAGACAATAAACTGACTGTCACCTGGCAGTTTTTTAACAGTTATCTGGGTGTTAAAAGCCAGGTTTTTTAGCATACATTTAAAGCGCATTACATAGCCTATTAAATGTCAGCTATGTTTCTCCTGGGTACACAGAGTAAGAGAGAAGAAGACATCTACTTATTTATTAACGAATAGATAAACATTGCAAAAATAAATCATTTTTTTGCAATTCAGAAAGGAGAGAATCGTTCGACATTGTGTAAATGTTTGGTCCATGAGCATCAAGCAAATAAAAAAACAGGTCTAATTATATGTCACTATATAGTGCCACATTCTCTATGTGCATTTCTCTCTTTCTAATACCCTTCTTTCTTCCATCGTCATGCATTGATAGCGCACACTCTG